GATAACCAACCTCATCAGCGTCCAATGCCGCTGGCGATTTGTTTTACATTCTGTTGCCTCTCGAGACCAAAAAATCCAGCCACCCAGCCACCCCGTCCCCACAAACCAACACTCCAACCACTTAGCCACCCACTCACCCACCGCCCAGATCACCCACCCACCCACTTATCTGCACCACCTAGTTTTTGGTGTGTTTGTCAGTTCGTTGGCAGTTCACAAAAAATGACAGTTACCCCCCACCCACCACTCCTCCGCAAATAAGAAATAAAAAATAAGCAAAGCACATGCAACACAATATTTCATGGAATATATCAAACATGGAAATTTGATTGGCTTCTGCTCTCAACAGATGCACCAGCATACAAAGTGCTTTTGAGGTGCAATTTCTCATTGGCGAGAAACGTTATAGTTGTAACGACTAACAGCTACCCATTGCAGCTTAAACTGAGATAATCTGGCGTATAGCAAATCATTATATTATGTGCAAATGACTTGATTGTTAGCATTTAGGAGCAGTAAAGTACGATTTAATAGGGTATCCCCACTGTCGACTCAGTATCGAACCTGTACCTATAACCCCTTCACATACTGCCACTTTGTCTTGGCCGCTCGCACACAAAACGCAATTTATTATGCAAAATCAAAATATGTTTGCCAACAACTCAAACACATGCAAAGGGGAAAAGCTGAGTGAAAACCAGAGCAGATGTCAGGAGGAAAAATGTTGGCATTTTTTTCGCTTGTCAAAGGGCAGAAACTTGCGATGAGTTGAGAATTTCTCTGACCAAACTGACATGACGCCGCCAAAAGTCCATTGTTGCTTGGTTAAGGTGGTCCGGATATACTCGTATACATAATTTTTTTCACCAAATAATGTCAACAAAAATCCAATTTCCTTTTACCTTCCCGTTTGAACATGGCGCATACTTATTGGTATGCAAGGACTCCCGGAATCTACGAGTCCAGGAAGTTGCGACTGGAGTCCTTAGCCCATGGGTATTGGGGCTGCAGGATGGCAGGGGCTCCACCAAAGTGCACTTGACATTTTACTGGGATTTCGAGATGGTGGAGCCAGCGATAGGCAACCGCAGGAGCGAGTGCTGCACTGGAATGCATTTGCCGCCTGACTGCACGTTTTCTGCTTGTTTAGTTAAGCGCCTTGGCGTGCGGTGTACGTGAATGCACTGCGAGAAACTCGCACGCCCGCCAACGATTAGCATTCGAGCGTGTTTGTCCTTTGTGAAAAGTGAGAAAGTGCCGGGGGTTTTAATTTATTCTGCGATTGCATGCCACTCAACTTGTTGAGCGTGACCGACTTGAAGTCGTAAAAAACGTGTTCTTTCAGGTGGCAAAAATGTGAAAGCTCCACTTACCCATCATCTAATTTTCCTATCATTGTTATAGGTTAATAATTTTGTATTCATTAACATCCAAACGTTTGAAACCAGTGATATACAGATTTAAAGAAAGAGTTTCCTTTTTTCCAACGGAAATCTGGTTATTACAGGGCATCTCTGCAGTCGATTCGGGAGATTTGTATTTGTTTTCGTCATAATTTTGTGCGGTTTGTCTTCCGTTGCAGTTTACCTTTCGAGCGGCATATCCGCTTTCCGTTTTCCGCCGCACTCCATCAACATGGCGAACGGAAAATCAGGAGGAGGAAACTCGAGACGTTGCCGGCACACGATTATTGTGTATTGTTATAATAAAGTTCAGCTTCATTTCCTCTGGCGTTCGGCGGTGGTGCCTCCATTTTTCATGCCCCATTCCATCCCAAGCCATCCTCTGCCTCACGCTCAAGTGCGTCTAAGTATGCGAGTCCTTTTGTTGTCCTCTCTCGTAGACGTCCATGGCCATGGATCCATGGATCCTTGCACTTAATTTCCCCCCATGTTCACATGGCTGCTCCTCGACCATGTCGACCATCTCGCCATCGGAGAAGTGTTTGCCCTGCACTCCAGTTTTTGCTCAAGACCCGAGGAGACTGCCACCTGACCTTCGGAATCGAATGGGAATGGGATAATGGTTATGGGAATGGGAGACGCTGGATACGCTGGAGATGGCCGGCATTAAATGGCGTGGGAAGGCGTGTCGTTGGGCCATTTCCCATTGCCCTGACTTTCCCTGTAAATTGTAATTTATTTCAATCTCATTTTAATAGATATTTATGCTTTGTTTTCCATTCGTCGTCGTGCGGCGCTTTTAATGCTTACATTTCCGGACATTTCAATAAATTAAGTTTCTTCCTCCGCACGCTTCTGTTGTTGTTTCTCTTCTGCACTCGATTTGTTGACAGTTGGAAATGGAATTGCTGAAATGGGAGTCGGATTTCAGGTTGCCTTCGGGCTATCTCTTTGCATGCACACGGTGCGTATGATCGATATTTGGGTAGCTCGATTTTAAAGCCTTCGTGTTTTGGCAATGGCATCATTGTCTCTTATTTTCGATGACGGTCAGGCAAAGAGTTTTTCCCTGTTCGAATTTCCGCCTCGATGTCTTTAATGAGTCTAAACAAGTTGACCCACTTTTTCGCATCTTAGAGCGGCAATTGTGAAGTTGTCCAAAGACATTCCTTTAACGACAAGCACTCAAAAAAGCAGCAGAGGTAGCTAAAAGCTTAACAAACTAACGACTATAAAGGGGTTCGACAACGACAACGACGAATAAAAACTGGCAGCAAAGTGCTCCATTTTTCTTCGCGAGCAGAGCGACTCCACGCGACTCGACTCAACTCGCATTTAACAAGAAAATCACATTAAACGTTGTTGTTATTGCCGGCGGGTTGCACTTGCATTTGTTGCAGTTTTTGCAGTTGTTTGCTAGTTTTGTTGCACGTGGCAGCGTCGACGGCAAAATGGGTGAAATGCATAAATCATTGGGCAAACAGGTGCTGGCAAAGAAAGCAAAAGCAAAAGTACTGGCGGCAGCATCGACTGCAATTTTGCCAAGTTCCAGGACGAGTGCACACACACATGCACCCACGCACCTACACACACGTACATTGTGTCCTCGACAGGAATGCCAAAAAAAGAACAAAAAGTAATCAGAGGAAGCTGATGATTTCAATACCGAAAAGTGGAACTTTTCAGATAGACGTGTGAACATAATTTTTTTATAAGGCATAAAAAAATATTAGTTCCTGGATACTGTGTTGCCTGCTTTCATAAATTTTGTTTGGCTCCTATGAATTAAAGCATCCAGTCTTGAGAAAAGTCGAAAGATTTGGCTAAAAGTAAATGGCAAACTGTTTCGAAAATGGCCAACTTTGCAGCACTGTTCGTGGTGCAAGGTTGGCGGCATAAAGTGTTCAGCTCCTTGTTGCTGTTCCTGCTGCTGCTGCTGCTGTTGTGCAGTTGCATAAGTCTATCAATAAATAATAAATTTTTACTTCATTGAATTTGCAAAAGCAATACGTTCGATAGACTCGCAGGCCAAACGCACCGCACTCCTGGCCCAAAAGATTGGGCCAAAGGATGATGTGCATGTGAATGTGGATGCTGCTGCTCCTGATCCATTTGCCAGTTGCCAGCGAACCATAAATGATGCAGCTGCAGCTCCAGATGAAATCCATCGCAGCGGCTTGCAAATGTGCGAACGAATTTCTTTCCAAAAATAATACTCCCCAAATGGGATTCCACTCGAATCGTTTATTGTTGAACGGTTAACGAAAGCCCTTTAGCCGCCGAACATTGAAGTAACCAACTGGCTTTCTTTAAAAAGGATCATTGGGGCAATGAACGATTGTTTTGTACAGCTTATGAGCTAAACTAAGGCACCGAGCTCCTGATTTGTAAAAACACGACAAATAACAAAAAATGTATTTTATAGCAAAGAAAGATCCTATTATTTGACCAAAAATGGTCACATCTCCAAAAGAATCATTGTTTTATACAGCTTATGATGCAAATAAACGATTCCTACCACTATTTTTTTCATTAAAAATTTTTTTTTTTTTTTTTTCAATTTTTCTGATTTTTCTGATTTTTATAATCATAATTTGTAGCGAAAATTGGGCAAAAAATTTAATTTTTAGCTGGGAATGCCATTCGATAGGAAATTTTACGACGAGTTCAACGAGATATGGCATTCCATATTTGGATTGAGAACTCAACTTCTGTGGGAAAAAAACTGAATATTTTTTGTTGAAAAATTGGGGATACCTATTTTGCAGAAATATGACATTCTCAAAGCGGTAAATTTCCCATAACTTGGCCAAAAATGGTCACAGATTCAAACGAAGCACTGTTTTGTGCAGCCTATGATCCAAATAATCGATTCCTATCACTATTTTTATATATTCAAAAAATAATTTTTTTTTTAATTTTCCTCATTTTTTATAAGGGGTAACATCATAATTTTTTGCGAAAAATGGGCAAAAAATTTAATTTTTAGCTGTGAATGCCATTCGATAGGAAATTTTACGACGAGTTCAACGAGATATGGCATTCCATATTTGGATTGAGAACTCAACTTCTGTGGGAAAAAAACTGAATATTTTTTGTTGAAAAATTGGGGATACCTATTTTGCAGAAATATGACATTCTCAAAGCGGTAAATTTTCTATAACTTGGCCAAAAATGGTCACAGATTCAAACGAATCACTGTTTTGTGCAGCCCATGACCCAAATAATCGATTCCCATCACAATTTTTATCTTTTCAAAAAATTATTTTTTTTTTAATTTTTCTGATTTTTTATAAGGGGTAACATCATAATTTTTTGCGAAAAATGGGCAAAAAATTTAATTTTTAGCTGTGAATGCCGTTCGATAGGAAATTTTACGACGAGTTCAACGAGATATGGCACTCCATATTTGGTCCAATAACTATATTGCTGTGTAAAAAAACCGAATATTTTTTGTTGAAAATTTGTTCATACATCGGTGAAAATGATATTTTCGAAGAGTTCGAAGTGCTATAACTTGGCCAAAAATGGTCACACAAATGTGAAAGCCATTTCCCTTTCTGTTCTTTGGCGGAATAAAGAAAAAATGCGAATGAATTGTTTTTCTATGATTTTATTAGTGTATTTGGGGCTAACTTGGTGTTGCGACTTAGCCAATTTAAAAAGCCAGTTGGTAGAATATTGCTTCTGGATCCAATGTGAACTTGCTCCGGTCTAACCACAGCCTGGACTATCGCTGCGAGCGCCCTCCATGCAGGGATACGGCTTGCATATGGTGCTGCCTGGGGCCGGCGGACCCTGATCCGCTCGAGCGCCCGCCCCCGCTCCGGCTGCTCCGCCCATTCGAGCGGCGGCGGCGGCCAGGACCTCGACGGTGCTATATATGTTGGCCATGCCCACGATTAGCATGCCGCCCGCAGCTCCGGTGGGCACGCTGTTGGCATCCGTTGGATAAGCATTGGTGGCCGTTGCTCCGGATGGTGGCTTGTTTGTCGCTGTAGCTGGTTGCACATGTTCCTGGCAGTTGGGCGAGCACTGCTGGCCGGGAATCTCGGGAATGGCACACGCCTTGCTGGGATGCGGGCCAATGTAGAAGGGATTGAAGGGCTTGTCGTCGGACTCGAGGGTTTTCATGGCGATGGTGAGGGCAGCAACGGATAAAAGCAACGGTAAGAAAATGAGGAAAAACACGGAGCTATTCACACGGACAAATTTTGAATTTTTCGGCTAGTTTTCCGAACTGTTCGGTGTAAGGTTTGCCCCAAAACTGATCGAAAGCCCCATACCGATGGCCTAATCTATCTGAGTTTCATCACGAGGCCTACTGTTTAAGAATTGTAATATTTTGTGTAAATTTAAAATTGTATTTTATAGTAATTCGGTTACAAATTGCCTTTGCATCTCAATAATATTTACATGGCAACTTGGCTTGCCACAATTTACTGAGCAGGCTGTTGTCTAGTTTAGTGTATCATTTAGTAAATAGGATTAAAATAGGTTAACAAGAACGCTTACAACAGCTTTATAATCCACACAAGCGCACACACACACATGCAGCGCTCACTAACACACATGCAAAGCACACTAACACACACAAATGCAACGCTGCTGGCGAATGGAATAAATGGAAATTCCTGGAAATAGTTTTCTTTGTTATTTACTCTATTCCGATCAAATTAAGATAATTAGAAAATAATACGGGAACGGAATAAAGTTCCAAGCTTCGAAAACATTCGGCACAGTTTGTTTATAGCGTATATTTACTAAAAGCAATAAGGAAATGTCTTTAGAAAGTTAATTTATTTCAAAATTAATTGAATGAAAATGCATAGAGTGTTTCAAACTGTTTTTGCCTTGATCGGTTTAGAAACTAATGCCTGCGTATCTAAACTAATATATATTCTGCTCGATTTTACTCGCTTCACGCAGATGCCACGCCTCTTAACCCCACTCTGCCTAACAAAGTCACCGCCGTAACCATGTAACTGTCCAACATGCTACTAAAACCACTAAAACCAGCCAGCGCCAATTAAAGCCAGCCGCCATAGAGCATCGGGAGCAGCAGCAGGAGCAGGAGCAGGAGCAGGATCAGCAGAAGAAGGAGGCACTAGCCGCTGCAGCAGTACAAAACATACACTTGGAGAAACAGCATGGCCGGGCCGCAGGTGCAGCACAGCCAGCGACCGAATAGCGCCTACTACACCGGCCTGAATGGCGGTTCCGGCGGCGGCGGAGGAGGAGGAGGAGGAGGAGGAGGAGCTGGCGGCGGCGGTGGCGGCGGTGGGGGATCCTCCGCCGGAATGTCAAGCAGTGCATCGCACACCGGGCTGCACGCCCTGCGCCAGGTGAGCAACGAAACGGAGCTGATCTACCGTGGAAGCCACAGCAATGGCACCGTCAACGAGCTGCCCTCCAGCGCCCAGCATCACCTGCTCACAGGTCGAGCGGCCCAGCAGCACCACCAACAGCAGCAGGTGCATCACCAGACGGTGAGCAGCATCGCTGGCACCGGATCCAGTGTCACAGACGCCCTCATTAGCACCATTAACTCTGGTGGCGGCGGCGGCGGCGGCGGCGGCGGTGGTGGTCCCTCCGGCAGCAGTTGCTCCACGGCGGCATTGGGCATTAAAAAGTCCAGCACGCAGCGCAGCATCGAGATAATTGTGGATGCCAGTCAGTGCGGCAAGGAGCTGGTGGCCAGTGGGCCGGGATCGGGGGCAGCTATTGTCTCCACCCTGGACGTGGAGGATGTGGAGCAGGGCGGCGGCGGCCAGGAGTCCTCATCATCGCATAGGAAATCATCGCGCCATCGCCATCGACCGCTCCACCGGCGGCTGATCACCTATCTGCGGAACCTCTTCCAGGGCAGCACCACCCAGAATGGTAAGGCAGCTTATGTGTGGGGAGCAACTGCATCCACTTGGGCATTTCATACATTTTCCTGAGGTCCCAGGGTTAAGCTAAAATCATTTATTCGGCTTTCGAGGGAAGAAGGAGGCCTAAAACTCTCTGATGGCATGAGGAGCCTACATTTGTCAGTTATTTCGAAAAACATCATACGAATTCGTGAAACCCATAAGGATTTTTCAATTAAAAATGGGACCATTATTAAATTATATGTTTTTTGCATATTGTTTCGTGCTCTAAAATCAATTCAACATGATTTTAAATGTAACTATTACCAATTAGAAATTTAAATTTTACCATTATTTATTACTGTTTAAAGAACCTTTTTACACTTTGAAGTTTGTTTTTCATAAGCACTCTCAGATTTTCACCTGTCATCGCCGCACCTTTGATTTGCTTTTTTCAGCGTGTACTTTACATATTTGATTTTTTCCTTTGATTTCTGTTTTCTTTCTTTCTGTGTAGCTGTGAGAACTCTGCTGGTTGCCTGGGGCTGCATCGCAAAGCGTAAGCGGCAATGTCTGTTCTTCACCCCTGCGACCCCTGCGACCCCTGGAACCCCTTAACCCTTACCCTGACTAACCCCTGCCAAAAACGTGCTAACCGTTTTCAGTTTGGGTCAATTCATGGCCATGAATCCACAGCCGTTGGCCCGGCCGCGCTGCAGATATATTTTTTGCGCATCTTGAGGTTGGCAGGCGGGAAAAAACGCTCGTAAAACGCGCCTGCGGTTTCGCGGCTGTTTTTGTCGCCTGCCCGAAATTTATGCATGGCGAACTTCTTTTTTTTGTGGACGAAAATCATCACAGCGGCCTTGAATGGATTTTCTATTGAAAATCTATTAGGCGTTTGTGGTGGCTGTTTTTTTACGTTGTTGTGGGTGACCCCTGGAGATGGAAATTGCTTGGCCTTTCTTTTGTGTGCTGAAAGTTTATTTACGAGTATTTTAGGAGCTGTGGAAATGTATTTTAAGATCTAAGGTGATTGCCACGACCCAAAAATAATTGCTAAATATTGATTTGTAGTTTTTTCATTTGATCATCAGATTATTTAATTGCTATTTTATTGTTTCCTTGCACTGCAAATGTTCAACATGGCGTATGATTAATAACATATTACTTATGCGTTGATTTGTCTTCTGCATAACATATTGAATTTCCCAACTATTTTTAAGCACATTCGTGAATTTGAAGCCCAAATCTGTTAGCTGTGTTGAAGGCACAATCAATCAAATTTGTACAAGTTCTATTATTTTTGGGAACCCTCAACGGATTGTCGAGGAAAACTTTCGCATTGTTACATTTCAATTCGATTTGATTTGATTTGATTTAATCTGAAGAGCAAGGAAATACTTCGCTTAACCCTTTTATGTCTGCTGTGTCTTGCATGATTAATTATGGAAATTGATGGAGCTCCCCAAGTCGAGATTGCATTGATTGTTTACGGCTCAACTATGAGACCGGATCGCCTTTGCTGCTTTGGCTCCTTGGAAGTTCACTCAGCCATCGAGTCCTTCGAGCAGATTCTTTTGTCAATTCGCCCGCCCTGAGCTCTCCGGCTTCATCCTGGCCCATACTTGCCCATCCTTGCTCATCCTTGCTCATCCTTGTTTTTTGTCTGTTCCACTTAGTGCCCTGCCATTCAGTATTTTCCCTATTCGATTTTCCCGCCCAATTTCCACCACCCACACCCCCTTCTCCGTCGCACAAGAGCAGTTGGCAAAATGATGAGCTCAACATAAAAGTTGCATGGCTCATCCTGAAAATTGAATGCAGGAACGGCTGAGGAGGAAATCGATATGGAAAACAATATAATATTTGTTTGTCAGTGCTTCGATTCGAATGTTATACACAGAGCTAAATATGGGGTTCATTTTGTGCCAGAATGTCGAACATATCGTCAAAGGTAAAAGAAATGATTAGTAAGCCTTGTTGACATTTGCAAGGAAATAACCAATATTCTGCTAATTGATTTATTAAATATAACTATTTAACTGTGCTGAAAATATTCCAAGATTATTATTAATAATGTATTCCATTTATTTACTTATTAACACATACTTTTGCACAACTTTGAATCTATTATGTATTTGAATCATTTAAACAATGTCTATATTATTTGCTAGCTTTGAAGATGAGGATCTTTATTTGTTACTATTTAAGTGCTGATTTCGATGCAAGTTGTGGCAGTGTTGCAACTGTTGAAAATGGCAGCAGACAAGAAATCGAAACTCTCGACTTAAATTGGACGGGCGGACCACGGGAACTTTGCATCTCACCCACACTTGACTTTCACCACTTTCCGTGAAAGTATTTTCGGCTTTTGCAATGGGCGACGGATTTGCAGCTTGGCCAGCGATGAGAAGCGGCGCAAAAGTTTTATTGAAAAAGTTTGATGAATGACAAGTTGGCATCCTGCGAAAAGCAGCGACTCCATAGCGCCAGCAACCCCAAAATAAGCAACCAAAAGTCCACCCAACTTTCGCCACTCCATTTCTCATACTCCGCCTCCCAAGTGACAAATCGCTGGCTTATGTTATCAAATGACATGGCATTTAAATGTTATTTAAGGCCCAAAACTTTAATTGAGTTTAAAACGCGCGCAAATTGAATCTAAATTTGTTTTAGCGCGCAAACTCGTTGGCGGCGAAATAACGAGCATTTGTGGTGGCCGTTTGGCAGCAAACTGTGTACAAAAAAGTTACAAATAAAAATAAAAAAGCATATGTAATACGTACATACTGAAAACTTCATTTTGTTTAAACAACTATTTGTTGTTCTATTTTAACATCGCTAATTGATCCAGTCTTTTTTAAGTTGTCCAATTTAGTTCTCGCCCCTTCCATGGCTCCACATACGAAACCCAAAGTCAAGGCCATTCAGAATCCTTCGTCAGCCTTGGCCGCGACAGGCATTTCAATTAATTATAAGAAGGGTGGTCGACAGAAGGGGGTTTCCATGGCCCAGGGGCCACGAGGGGGATCAGGAGGTCCCAAAGGGGAGCAGAGCTGAGTATCCTGGCAAGGCTAAAATATACTGACTCAAATGAAAGCGAGCACAGTTGCAATCAGGCAAATATATAAATTACTGAAAGGGGTGCTTCTGACTTAGGTGCACTGAATAAATCTCCCAAAAGGGAAAGTCGCAAGCTGTATGTGCACATAAATATTTATTTGTATTATAAAAATATATTAATAATTAAGGAACAATATTTCACTTTATTTTTGTATAGGGCTTCCTTTCGTGCAGTGTATAAAAATAAGACAAAAACAATTATAGCGCGTGTGTGTGCGTAGGTTGAAAATAAATTGAAGCCACTGCTCGTTTTGGCTTTGGTAATTGGCTTACTTCACTCGTCCTGCGGATTTCCCTTCGTGTTCGCTGGATGTTTTGCTTCTTTTCCAGTCGCTTCTGTTTTTTGCTCCCAGTGCCGCTGGCTGCATTTTATTGTCCTGTCCCTTGCCATCGCCTGTTGTCTTTTTGTTTTTCCCCCCGTTTTTCCGCTGTCTTATCCTCGGGGCAGCTCAATCAGTGTATTCATCTTCCTTCGTCCTTTTTGGCCCCGGCTCTGTTTGCCCGTTGGCCCTTCTGCGCTTTAATGCACTTCATAATTTCTTCATTACGCCACGCCCACGCTCACGCCGACGTCTAAACTTTCGATGGCAGAATCCGGAGCCTGGAAGGTAATTGAATTCGTTGTCTGCATTTTGTGGTCGCTTCATTTAGTGCGCTTGATGGTCTTATTTCGCCCGGCTCTGGTTTTAATTATGATTTCATTATTTGCTGTTTGTTCGCCGTCGCTGCTGCTTATTGCATATAATTTTTAATGGCCACCGCGATGTTTTAAGTGCAGCCAGTCCTTTGAGACCCGCTTGCCCAATGCCCCACTGTCAGGCCCCACTCCCAGCTCCCAGTTTGTTTGACTGTCTCTTGTTACTCGCTTCTTGGCACACTTTCTCGCCTTTCACCGTCAGCCAAGCGAAAGCGGAGGTGGCTAGGATGTCGCCTGTCGGCGGCGGTAACTGTGTCGCAACTTGGCTTTCATACCCTGTAAATGCGGTTCAGGTGGTCGTCTTCGGATGAGAGAAATCACAACAGCAGAAATATTAAATCAAGGTACTTAAACAAAAATGTTTATCCTCCTAAATAGGCAACACTTTTACAATGGTCAGAAAGCAGTGGACAGGAAGTGCATGGGAAAGCAGTTCTTGCACTGCACTGCTTTGCGGTTTTGGAGACCATCTTGGCTAATTTAATAGAAGTAACCAAAATAACCAAAATATCTGAGTATTTCAACACTGCAATTTTCTATTTATTTTTTTTCAAGTTTTCTAGGGCACTAAGTCTTTGATGCAGATGCCCGACTGCCTCGCCTGGCCTCGCCTTTCGTGTGCACATGCATTTAAGTGTCAGGGCCTGCCACATTTTAATTTATTTAAGCGCATTCGGCGCTGCCGTAAATGAGTTAAGTGCATTTCGTCTCTCGCATTATCTGGCCCCTCGCACACCTACATATGTGTGCGTTAGTGCATGAGTTTTTATCAGGGAGCGTGCAGGGATTTGGGCACGCCTCCTTTGTGGGCAAGCAATTTGTTTTGGCCATTGTCTGAGGCAGCGACTGCAACTCGGATTCAACAATCGCGACCGCAAAAATGCGCAATAAAACAACGCAGAAGCCGTAAAAGTTTTTTCATTAACCCCCTCTCCCCGCCGAAGCCATCCAAAAACGCCTGCAACAATGTGATGGAAAACATGGCACAAAGTTGCACTGCTTTCATTGCATGTGTGTGCCAGTGTGTCAGCGTGTGTGTGTGTGTGTGTGTGTGTGCCGCCTGAGGAGGAAAAAATTATACGAAATTAAATGAGATAAGTGTCGGAGCATTGTCTGTGCGGCAAACTTGCAGTCCAACTTTTTACTCGCCTTCTTTGCTAGTTTTTCCCCTCAGTTTTTCCATTCTAAATTTCTGTGTGCTGTCCATGTGTGGATAAATCTGTTTTTAGTGGGATTTCATCTTGCGAAAAAACGAAAACAGAGAGAAAGGGAAAATGCGGCTAAAGTACACATTTCTTTATACAATAAACTATTTTCCAAGCTAAGCCTAGGAAATGAAAATCCTTGAAGTGAGGCTTTAAAATGTGAGACAGAAGAGCTTAGAATGTACTTTAAAATACATACGCAAGTAATTTGGGTAATTTGGCGCAGGCCAAATTTTAATCTTGGGAAAATAAATGCGGTATTTTTTTGTAAGACTGTGGGTACCGATAATTTGCTGCGATTGAATAACTAGCTTAGCTTACTAATAAGCATTTTTGCTCTTAAATTTAGCTACTGCAGCTGGCCAATAAAAGAGTTTTCATCAAGTAATTCTAATTTTTGTAAAGACATAACAAAGTTTTGCTTTGGAAACCCTAAAAACCGTCAATAACCAGCATTAAATTGAATTCCCTTTTAACGTGAAGAGCGTTTATACGGCAACATCTCTTTTATTTGTTCGTTTTGTCGATCAGAAAAGCAGAAAGAATGCGGAAAACCCAGAGATAAAAATGAAAGCAGTAAAATCAGCCAAAGGCATTTGAAGATGCTCTTCCTCTCTTTCTGTGTGCATGTGTACATGTGTGCGTGTCTGAGTATCTGTGAATACTTCGATTGAGTGCGCATCTTCAAAGGCATTCCACCGCACATCTTTCGCCGTGCCCAATATAAAATATATGTATATATTTGTTATTAATTTGCACTTTCATAGTTGACAACGGTGGGGGCGTGGCTGTTGGCGAGGTAAACATTTGGAAAAACTGCAGTCGCTGGCACTTATCGACATGCTGCACACTTGAAATTGAACGAAAGCAAATATTTTTACTGCGACAACAAAACAGAAACAGAAACTGCGGCGCATACCTAATAAAAGCCGCTGCCACACCCCCAAAAAGTCAAAAAGGGGCTGTGTTGGCTGCGGTTTTTCCCTTTCTGCACATACAACTGCAGTCAAAACAGTAGGAGTGTTTGATTTACAAATTGATTTGCTTAAATGCATCTTAAAAATGAAATACATTATATTTCTTACAACAAATCATATTTCTCAATATTTTAATCTGAGTCAGAAGCGATTTTAATATATACGAGTTCTTTATTAATTGACAACTATTATTTTGGGCACAGCTGTTTGCGAGTGGGTGGGGTGCAGCATGCAAATATATTTGCACTTGACTGGCGGCTGCTGCTGCTGCCCCTGTTGCAGCGGAAACGGAAACATGACACCTGCGCAGCCACACACACACACACTTACACACTCATAGGGGAAACGGATTGGAGAAGAGGGGAAAGGGCTAAGCGAGCGAGTGCAGACAACGTTGGGCAAACAAGCGCAAACCGAGTCGAGATAAACAGGAACTTATTATGCGAACTCATGCAAGATGAGGTGAGTGGGTGAGTGGGCGGTGGGCGGCAAATATGTGGGCGTGGCACGGCCTGGTGGCACTGCAATTGCAGTTGTGTTCGGTTGTTTTGTGCTCTATCTGAAATTACACGGACAACAATGGCAATCCATGCACCAACTGCCCGCAAATGCCCTGCCACTGTCATCCTCTTGTTTATTGTTATGTTTGCCAATTGCCAGGCCACAGTTGCCACGCGGCAGCATCCCAGCAACCCAGCAACCCAGCAGCCCAGACACCCACACCAAATGAGGCATGTGTTTTCACACCTTGACCCCAGCAGGTGGCATCGAAATAAAAACCAAAACAAAAACCACAAAGCGATTAAGGGCAAAGCTGGAAGAGACTAGTACCCAGTAGTTCGAAATATGAGTAATTCACGGTTCACTTTTAGCTTTAAATATGTTGCAGGAATATTCCTACTCAGCGTATAAGCATAAGCACTCATGAGAATAATCGCAAGTTAAATAATGTCAAGCGGCCTAGCATGCACTGCTTACCCTGTACGGCAAGCAGTTGGCGGAAAAAAGTGTTGCCTGCATTTGGGCGCTGTTTGCGATTTATTTTGTTAGAAATTCGTTTGTTTTTCGCCCAACAGCTGTCGCATCATCAACGCAAACCGTTTTGTTTGTCGCACAAATAATTTAGACATTCACGTGAGAATTCAGCGCCAGCAGCTGATAATAAAGAGAGACCCAAATAAAAAATGTAGCCAAGGAACAGGGGAAAGCGAGAAAAATTGAAGTAAAACTTTTTGCTATATTAAAGCCAAACAAAACGCCAGATGCCAGCTGCCAGCTGCCAGCTGCACATGAATATATATTAGACTTAATGCATTTCGTCAACAATTTGCTCACAATGTGAGAGAGATGCAAACGATGCCAGAGACATAAAACGCAGAACCCCAATAGAATGCGAATGCAAATCCACTCTACTGTAACGACAGAAAAGATGGCAATGCAAATGGGAACGAGAAATAAAAAGGAAGCCATAAACAGACAAAGTGAGTGTCAGTTGGAAAACCACAAGGAATGTCCAAGGAAACCCCAAAGAAAACCCGATTGAAGTAAATTAGTTAAACTAAGAGGAATTTTATGCTGCTGGGCTCTGGCGAAAGCCCTCAAAAATATAAAATATGCATATTCCAATATTTTTTCATTTGTCATAAGCTACTTTGTTTGCCTTCAGATTTTTCGCTTTTGATTAAATTCCTTCCCAGTGGGCGGCGGCTGTGGAAAGTGAAACGAAATATACATATAAGCGCCCGACTTTGACTCTCCCATTTTGGCCAAAATGAAAATGCATTTGCACACATGTATGTGGCGTAAGCCAGCAAGCAAATTAAAAACTAACGCCAAAGGGAACGACAACTGCAGGCCGTCGTCTGCAGACCAAAACCCAACCTCCACCCCCCAATGCATTTTTTACCCTTAGCTTTCCCTTTCCACTTTCCCTCCTTTTGTTTCTAGGTGGAAGCCTGCTTTTCGGGCGCTTAGCAGGGCCAACAATTCAACGCCCTTGCGTAGAGAAAATGTACAGCCTCCCCCACCCCACCCTTCTTGCTCCCTGAACCTTCCGCTCCCTTCGCTTTTCCCCCCCGTTTTCCCCGCTGCTTGGCCTCATGCATTTTTAAGCAGCCATTTGTCAAGCGCGTGAGCTCAACTCACCAAATTTTCTCTGTGTGTGCAACTAACTGCATGAACACTAAAAAAAAGATTTTATCTGAACTTTTAGCTTGAAAAATGGATATGTATAAACTTGCCAATATATTTGCCATGAATTTAAGCAAGAATTCATTAAAATTGGGCCAAATATGCATTTTACTTGCTTCCTATTAACTGACAACTGGCTTCACAATTTCTCTGATTTACAAAACTGTATAGAAAGTAAGCCCCAAAATGTTTGAAGTGCAGTTAGAAGTAGTCGCTGTGGGCGTGTGTGAGGTTAAAACTTTTAATTAACTAAAATTGAGGCGCCTCAGCCACAAAGAACATTTTTTTTTTTGCCGCTCACCATTGAAAAGGAAACACGCCGACGCCGACGCCGACGCCAAAGTCAAAGTCAGACCGAGGCACAACAAAAACTGAAGCGGCTTTTACCTTTTTGGGAGGAAACCACCCAACCGCCACTGATAACCCCCCTTTGACACCTGCCACGCCGCCCATGAAGGCAGCTCGGCGAAAAACTTTCGACAGCCAAAGTACAAGATACTTAAGGCAACTGGCAAGTCAATTCAAACACTTCGAGCGACTCAACAGATCAAAATCGCGTGTGTCGCTTTTTTTTTTTTTTTGGGCAAAGGAGGTGCTGTAGAAAGGACTTTCGAGGGGTTTTCTAGGGGGCTTCTTACGGGGACTTGTGGCAGTAGCAAGCTGGGACTAGGACATGCCCCAAAGGCAACGAACGTATTCATGCTGCGGATTTGTCGTACATCAGACAACTGCTCCAGAAAATTTAAAAGAATTTGTATTCTCAGAGTTCTGGCTTTGGACAGCTAAAGAAAAATAACCAAAAAACAACAATTGCAGGCCTTTTGAGGTTTGTTTCCGAAGCAAAAGGACGACAATTTTCTAGGAAAGCTCTCAAATGGGACTTTGTTGAATTAATATAAAATATTTTGCTGCACTGAACCATTCGAACCAATGTACATATATTCCTTTAAGGCATATTTAAGATACTTTAAAAGTTGTACAGCGTCATTGCCTCGTGACTTTCAGTTTGTAAGCTCGTGAAAAATGCTGAGAATCATTGTCAACAAAAAAGTGCGCAAGATTCTGGCCAACAACTTTTTAATGAAATTGATTTGATACCTTCCCTGTTAAATTTCCCGGAAACGTTATTTCTTTTGCTATACACCAACATAAGCTTTGCAACCCGTTTAATGTGTGCACCGTCCACTTGAATTTGCAGATTCGGAACTGGAGGAGTTCGAAACGCCGGCCAGGTACAGGCCCGACTCGCTAAGTGCGCTGAGCCGCGCCACACGCTTCACGGAAGACGAGATCAAACGAATTTACCGGGGATTTAAGGCTGAGTGCCCGACGGGCGTCGTCAAGGAGGACACCTTCAAAGTGATCTACTCGCAGTTCTTTCCACAGGGAGGTTCGTGCGGTACAGTATACTTTGTTTCGTTAACCCTTCTGACTTGAACTAGTGATTACTAACGCCTGCCTTACTGTATTGTTGCTCCTACATATCTGCATTAGCGCCATTTAAATTGCGATAGCGATTAGCCGATAGCACTTATCGGTCTCACACGCTAGCCAAACAGTACAGTCACCACCAAAACATTGTGTAGTTCGACTTGCAACCTCCCGATCTCGATAACGATATCGGTATCGATATCGATAGCGATATAGATGTGTGTGTTCCAGTTCTGTGCCTTAGTACATATAATCTAGAATTTAATGTTGACTTTGCAAACTAGCTCTTTGTTGTGTTTGTGTGAATATGTTTTACGTATTTTCTATATTTTATGTTTCTACAATTTGTTTCATATCTGTTGCTTGCCACCTAACATTCACTTTTCAAGTAACAACTTAAGCCCATCCCAAAACTGCCATTCGCTTCTAACACTTAACACCAATTGATTTTGGGCTAAACGGGGCGAAAGCGGAAACGGAAAATAAGAGCGGAATTCGAATGTAAATGGAAATGAAAATGAGAGTTACGATTAGCAAAGGACCACAAAACAAATGGCAATTGACTGGAGATTTCCCACCAACCCAAGCACTTAGCCCCCAGCCTTCGTGACCAGGAAAGTGAACCCAAGGCAAAAGGCATTGATAAAACTGTATGACCCATGGGCGGGGCCACCAAAGAGTTGCGGATGATCATCGGGGAAAGCCAGTTCAGCACGATGATGATGAAAGGGAAGAGGATGGGCTGGCAGACTGGTTGGGCAGTGGAGGACTGGGAGGATTGGGAACCCGAGGATGATGCTAATGACGACGCTCGGCTATATTCAGACTGGCCAAAAGGCGACTCTTTGTTTGGCCGGCCCAAGCTGGCCCTTGGCTTCTGAAAATATGAAATGCAGAAAGCAAATTAGCAAAAAGCATAAAAAGCAAAATCATGTTTCACAAGTCGCGGTCGCAGAGGGGGCGTGCCAGCCAAGCCACCCACTTGACCTCGTTTGAACAACAAGTGAAATTTTGTTCTGCATTTTGTACTTTTATTTTATTTTTTTTCATTTTGGTTTTGCCGTGCTTTTTGCCTGTGCACAATTTACATTTACATTTGCAAAAGCTGAAACTGAAGATGAGACCGAGAATGAAAGGGGAATGGATTCTCTCAGTGGCCGGTAACTAACTGAATTCCTGATAGATTACTGCGGGCAAGGGTCTGCTGCGGGCTGGGAATTCGGCTTGGGATAAGGGTTTGTTGCCAGAAAAAATGGCAAAAAAAGTATGTCAAAGAAATGAAATGTAAAGAAAGCTGTGGGAAAGGGCTGAGTTTGTAGCTAATTTTCTTAAAAGCCAAATTAGGCTTTTTTGACTTCTTTCCATTAGATTAACGTGACAAATCTTCGCATTAGTTTAAATGTGACAAATTGCTGGGACTTACTTTAAGCGGAACAGTTTCCGCAAACGGCTGATTAAATATATTAAATTACGAAAGGGTGTCTGTTGCGCAGACCTATCAGCTAAGCAAGTTGAGAAATTCCCATTAATTTCCATTGATTCGCACAAACTAAAGAATTCCTTTGCACCTCGCCATTCGGCCAGACATGGGCCATAAATTTCGTTAAGGCCGCTTGAATCCAGTTCGGGAAAAGTTATTGCTACACATGTTGCGACACTGAATTATTATAATAAACCTATTTTGACTGGCTACAATGGTGGCCAAGGCCAACATTGACAGACGGAAGCGGAAACAAGAAATTCGCAGTAAACATGGGGCTTATGTATTTGCTCCCAATCCCGAGCACGCCTCTTATTCTTCATCATGTCGGCCGTTATCTGATGAAAAATAAATAATGAAATCATTTTTTATTTTGATAAGCTGCTTTGCCACACACACACACACACACACATACCGACCCACCCACCCACACACACGCACGAGACGGAAAGAAAAAATCATCATCAAAGTTGGTGATTTATCACTTGGGCTGTTTTCCTCGCTTTTTTATCTTTCGCTTTGTTTTTCGCGCGGCTTCCTTTGCAAATTTCTGCGCAAATTTTATAACAATTTTTACATGGCACATTTGCAGTCATTTTTGATTTGGCACAGCACACAAAAAACCCAAGGAACAGATGCCATTGAGCTGTGACCTTGTGGGCGTGGCTCCCTGCGTCATGCGTCATAAAAGCACATTAAGCATCAAATAGCGACAATAAATTTGGACAAATAAATTTATACAGCCGCGCGGTACGTGAATACAGTGCGACTCACGGCTTTAAGGCGCTGCCAAGCTTAAAGTTGAAGTCCATACTTGCTTGGGTGGAGATCTTGATTTCAATATGTTCCTTTATGGGCATCTGTAGTACATGTCAAATATGTAAATTTTTAAATTTCGTAATCATAATAAATCAAAGATAGCATTTGATTCAATAAAAAGCTCATGGACTAAGAACTTAGTGCACTAAGCAAGCTGCCAAGCTAGTAAGCTTCCTACCAAATTGAGTTATCGACTGCAAACAGTAAGTGCAACAAAATTCGTCAATGGCCTGAACTTTGGCTTTATGACTTCTTGTTGCCCCGAATGTCATTTGATGGGGCTTTATGAAGTGACGTCTTGCCAAAAAGGTGTAAACGTTGTGAGCGTATAAAGACATAAGAAAAAAACTTTGGCATGAAGCCGTAAACATAAACGCGAATCGTAAAAAAGTAGCTGAGCAAGTGAGAGCAAGCGCAATAATCAAAATGTTATGTGATGGCCAGATAAAGAAATCTTTCTGACAGCGAAAAAGGCGGCGGGGACACTAAGTGCGCTAAGTGCTTTTGGTGAAAGCCGGAAAGCGCGATAGCAAGGCTGGAAATTCTAGCCGAAGGGGAAAACTCCCCTAAACTGGCAATGCCCTCATAAGTAGGCAACACTTTTTCAAAATCAGCTTCAAGCAGTGTGCGCAAGCAGTTCTTATCAGCAGACACAGGAGACACTCGCATAATTAGCTGCAAACTGTTTTCCATCCCCTTTTGACCCCCTCCCCGCCATTCGGTGGAAAGTTTCGGCTACCCGGAGTCCCAAAAAATGTTGAATTTTGCACTGATAAAGAGCAAAGACAAAAAGCACACATACTAACAAATAATAACAGCAACTGGAACGAAAACATGGAAAAACTTTTGCGGTTGACAAAACTGAAAGGAAAAGCTAAAGTTTACCCAGTGAAGACGACCCACATAGAAGTTGCGAAGCAAGAAGGGGCTGTCATATCTTTCTACCATCTAACTATCGAACCGCTATCGCTTCCTTGCACTGGAAAAAAACAGTGCAGAATTCATTATGCTACTGCATAAGAGGACTCCGATTTATTGTCCTGCAAGATTGGAAAATATACGATTTTCACAAATTTATCATTCTATGTTTTCAATTATTCAGCTTTATTATTTCTTTCTGTGGTATTATATTTGTTCACCTATATGTGTGTGTATGTGTTTGTATGTCTAGCGTTCATTTGATAATGTTACCAAAACTTTAACCGCTTCAGTTGAGACCTAATTGGTCGCCTTTTGCCAGCATTTGGCAGCCAACCCGCGGAATGTTCTTATTTAACGCCCCTCTTTTCTTGTTTTCATTCAACCAACCACGTCGACAATGCGCCACAACCAACATAAACAGCCAATCCAACCTTATACGCGCACTATGTATTTAATACACTGGATCAGGATCACAGCGGCATTGTCAGCTTCGAGGTAAGTTGATACACTTCCTGTAATACTATTAATATCTATAAACAGAGAGAAGAAAACTCGCCAAAATGCTATAGATACATGCCTTAATTAGCCGCTTAACAGCAGTGAAATATCTTAAAGTTGAGGTACACATTTGGTATGTGCCAGGCTGAATTTAAAAATTCTGTGAAATATTTCCATATTGATTAACGAAACTTAGCCTTGGCCCTAATGATATCCACAAATTCTATGTGAAAAGTGCCATGTAGCCACCCAGCTTTTCACATCTGTGGAATTTTCGCAGGCCCTCTCCCTTCGTGCGACATCAAAGTGTGGCCTGCGGCCAGGGACAAGCTTGAGAAATGCAATGGGAAGCAATGAGCAGCTCATTTCCGTGTGCGCTGTGTGTGTGTGCGTGCGTGTGCGTGTGCGTGCGTGTGTGTGTTTGGGATCCTGACCAGGTCTCCTCATCGCAATCTCAATCTCGCTTTCAATGAAGAGCAACTAATGGAGTTCGGTCCTTGGGCAAAATTGCGATTTAGATTGGACCATCGGGAGGAAATTGAGAAATTGTCTTAGAAATCAACTTTTGTGCAACAATTTGTGGCGCCCACTTCTTTCTGTCGCTGCCATATGCAATTAAGGGAAGCACCATACTAGGGAGCTGACATACTCGTCTACCCAAATGGCTGGCCAGTCGTGAGTGCTTACGCTGCGAGGAAATATAGGATATCAGAATTCTAGAAAATATAACAACATCAATGATGCCAATTTGAGCAGAGCAGCTATGGTTGTTGCTGCAGTTAATTGTAATTAGTTTTAAGATGATTACCCTTGCGAAAAGGTAACACTTTTTTCTCCCAGCGCATCTGCACACAGTTTCCGTCAGATAATAAAGCAGTGGTCAGATTTATGGCCAACTACATAATTGAGCGGCGAGGAGTGTGGCCATAGTTGTGATTGAATCGCATGCCTGCCGCTCGTCGCCGGCTATCGTTATCGATAATTAATCTTGCCAATTGAATGGCCAGGCAAATGCGTAGCACTCCACTCGCCTCGAATCGACTCGAGTACACAGACTCTAGCAATTCAATTTAATTTACTCGGTGCGCCTCTTCTTAATGTCCGCACGATGATGCGGCGCAAAGTGAAATTGTTGAGGTCACCCGGTGGGTGGGAGTTGTGCGTGTGGGTGGTGGGCGGTGGGTGGTGGCCGGTGGGTGAAAGGTGGTTCCACACGAAGGCGAAGGGAACAGAAGCTGACTCTGCCGACTTAAGTACAATGAAATTACTTTAGACATTTTAAGTATAAAATATGGCTGACAGCCGAGTCGAGTTGAGTACAGTTTGCTTTGGCTGGGTTTGAGTCGGGTGCACAGCGCGAAAAAATAAGCAACACTTAAACTAATTTGTTGGGCAAGAAGAACTCTCTTTTATTCCCTGGCATTTATTAAGAAAGCGCTTCTTCGGTGGCATTTAATTTATATGATATACATACATCTTACTCTTATATTCTTTCGTTTTTCAATGCTGTGAGCACTACTATGTCGCACCACACTTTCCTGCCGATTTTTCGCAGTGCAGCTTAGCAGCAAAAGTTGTGTGGCATCGTGAGTTTCTAAATGAAGCTGATTTGGCTCAGAGGGGCGGTAAAATGGGGGGCTATGAAAAGGGGATGGCGCCAAATGACGCTGCAAATCGCCCCCAAGACCAAGAACAACACCAGCAACAGCAACAACAAGAAGGACGAGCCGAGGTCAATGGGGCAACTGCTTCTTCTCGGCCTGGTAAGCGCCTTTAGTTACGGTTTATTAGTGACAGCGAGCAGGGACAAAGAGTCGGGGGAACAAAGAGTATCGCCAGATAGATGTTTAAGCGCTCTATTAACTGGCTCAGCATAAAAGTTGTAATACGCAAAGTACACACTCAGACGCCAGACGCCCCGCATTAAAATACCCCGCCCCCCGCAACAACCCATCCATCTTAAAGGACATTAAAGTTTTTGGGTCCCGAAAAGTGTTTGGTCATTGGGGAAGGCCAAGTGAATTGCGTCGAGGAGCAAGTGTATTTGGTGGGAGCAAAGGCGGATTTTGTTAAATTTCAGCATGCTTTAGTAATAATTTAGCTCCTTAAATGCTCCTTTGCACTGCAGCATGCGGCATCATTTTTGATGTGATAGTAGCATTCTTTGAGAATTATGCAAAATTATTGTTCATCAAAAACGGGAAAAGCTGCAAGCGGTCATGGAATATGGAAAATGCATATTCACACATTTCCGCCCGCTTTGGCTGGAGGGGAAAAGTGTCAAGATACCGAAAAGTATAATGCTCGAAGTTCGGAAATCAAAGTGGAATGTCTCGAAATTGAAATAAAAATGCTGGTGGCCAGGGGGGAAAATCTATAGTTTGCAGCGCACTCGCGTGTTTCTCTGCTGTCGACTGTCGACTGTCATTGTCAACGTTTCTATTGCAGCGAGTGGAATGCAAAACAAGAGCTGGCAACGAAAAAAAGCAGGGGTAGAAAAATGAGGAAAAACCGAATAAATTTTCGCGAATTGAGAGGAGGAGCCACCGCCGCTGCCCCGCGGCGCATGCAAATTGCGAATGATTTTGTCTATTTTTTGGCATGCTTCTTGTATTTTGCGCTTTTTTCACAGACTGGCGACTGCCCCTGCATGTCCGAGCATGAACTCCACTTCCGGTTGTCAGAGGAGCAAGCAGTTGGGGGCACAGGAAGCTCACAGACACATGAACGCACACACACCAACGCACACATACACTCTGCCACTGAAACGATGAATTATGGCGATTTTAACGCCAACTTTGTCAGGCACTGTGACTTAATGGGCAGGGGTTCGGGAACGTCGTAGGGGAAAACAATGAAAAACATGGGCAAAGTCGGAAAAATACGAGTAGGCGAGCGCAAGACACTCCGACAGAAGACAAAAGACAGAAGACAGAACACAGAAGTGCAGGAGAGGAAATACCGGGGAAGGCAGCTAAACAGAAACGCAAAACCCAAGTCAAACAATGGGACATCCTGGCAAAAAAGGATAAACTCCAGAGCGAGGGAGAGAGGAGATCGTGACACGGATAAAAAGAGCCTGGGGCTTTCAACTAAATGAAATATATTGGCATAGATGGCCAGCTTGCATCTGCAACTAATAATTTATTACATATTATTAGCATATTTCATACTTGAAAGCAATGCTAAAATGTTTATGACAAAAACGCCATATTTAATGGCATGGGGCAATCAAACAGCTCAGTCCACTGCGCACAGTAGTCCATAAATACTTTATTGGATAATTTGCAAGCCTTGCTCGCATTTATGAACAGTAGAGCGCAATTTAGAAATCAATATTGCATTGCAGTCAGCGTTACATCCTCGAGTGTCTGGCTGGAAATAATCGCAATCACGTCAGCCGTCCATCTCTATTTTGCCGCTTTCCCGCTTTCCCACTTTTCCGCTTTCCCACATTCCCGGCTTTCCCCCCCACCGACAGCTTATCTTTTGCTGGCTCTTGCCTTTTTGCCTGCTCGCCATTTTCGTTGTTGAATAATGACCTCAAAATTGTAATGACTACGAGGCACGTACTCGATATAAAGCATGTACACAGAAGCGCCCTTAACCCATGCTGCCCCCACGCCCTTAACCCCCTAGGAGCCCCTTTCACATCCCACTCGCACAACAGTAATTCCGTAGTTTTGTGTGTGACGCTCTGACTAAGTAGTCTTCCGCTTTTCAATTAAGTTCCACATATTGTTGCAAGGTGTTTTATGCGCGATTTGCATGACAGTCGCGTTTATTAAACTGCCAACCGAGTGGAGGCAGAAGTAAATGGCTTCGGCTAGGGAGAAAAGCAAAAAGCACAAGACAGGATAACAGGATAACAGCAAACCTGTCAGGGCCATATTGAAATTGTGAAATTGTGAAATTGTGAAATTGTGGGCAGGGCCAATATGCCAGGGGTAAAACGGCAAAAGAGTGTGCGACCTGTTTACGCTGGCAGAAAAGATAAATTGCTCAAGTGTGCGAGATAAAAGCAATCGAGTGGCGGTGGCCAGCAGGGGGAAATAAATATAAAAGACATACAGACGCACAAACGAGCATGCATGCATACATAGAGATGCCAGCCAGCTGCACTGCATGGCAACTGCGTAGAAAGGATTCGAAAAGGACGCCTTTGGCAAGCAGTGGAGTACAGCAAGCAGGTTAACATGACACTTGAGTTTGTTTTGATCACTTAAACAAACCCTGTGAAATAAACGACTGAAATATAAAACTGGTGCCGACCTGCTGGTCAATTCTCACAAGCCATTCGAATTGCGCAAATGAAATGGGAAACTGTTGATAGCCTCGAACAAATTGAGGCCTTCATTCGATGAAAAGCAAGTTAAGTAATAATAAAGACGAAATTCTCTTGGATTATTTCAAAATACTTCTGCATAACTAAATACACGGCATTAAACATGCATTCACATCAATATTGTCGTGAAATTTGAGCGGAATTTCTCTCAAACTGAGAAATTATTTGTCCGTTTTGTGCGACCATCGTGGCCATTTGGCATTTGGATGAGCATTTGAATGAGCATAACAAGGAGAAGCTCAAAGTCACCCGATTGCCCTGTTAGCAATCCACTCCCTGGACCAATTCACTCCCATTATGCAGTGCAAAGCATCGGGCAGCAAGGAAAAACTATCATAAATCCGCTTAATCACTCGGCCAGAGTGCAAACTTCACTTCGAATTTTCAATTTTCAGCTTGTTTTGCCAGCTTGCCACTTGGCAATTTGTCCACGTCGAATAGTGAAAGTTTCTTGCTTCGTTTCCGTTGAATTTCGTGCAATTTTTTGTGCCATTCTATTCCAGCTTGATAAATTAGTCGGACGGTGCAATTGCCCAAATGGCCAGAGAACAAGACACAAATGATGCTCCTATCCGAATTCCTATTCCTGCTCCTTTTTTCCACTTATTTCCTGTTTCCCTTTCCCCCTTATTTCTGGGCTCTCCCATTCGGTATGCAAAAGCAAGATTCACTTCGCCGTCAGCTGTGGCATTCCCAAAATGCCTCAACACCTCCTGGGGCACAGAAAAGGGGGCCGGGGATCGTAAAAACTTTGCCCATTCTCCTGCAAGTTCTTATCTAGGTACATTTGTCATGCAAAGCATAGAAATAAATGTCCACTTCAGCAGCGGCAGCAACAGCAGCCGAAAACAAGAAAAAGCGGGGCGTACAGTCGAGGGAAACTAAGAAGAACTTTTTAGTTAGTAATTACATGAGATTGGAGCACGAAGTGCTAGAAATAATAATACAGAAAAAGCTGGATAAAATATAGGTTGCAATGATAGTAGATGCTCATGGAATATTTTGTGAACGCATGGAACTGGAGTGCTGGACGCAGGTGTACTACGCTGCGGTTTACGAGCAATTTCTTAAAACATATTTTCAATTTCTTTTATACCTGTAATTTCGCCGCACACCAACAGCAGCAGCAGCAGCATCGCAGCCGTATTTATGCCAACTTATTTCTCTTCCTGTCACAGGACTTTGTTCAAGGACTTTCGATACTGTCGCGCGGCTCCGTGGAGGAGAAGCTGCGCTGGACCTTCTCGCTGTACGACATCAATGGCGACGGCTTCATTACGAGGGAGGAAATGACTGACATTGTAACTGCCATATACGAGCTGATGGGCCGCCTGCCGGACGAGTGTCCCGAGGAGGAGAAGATCAAGGGCAAGGTGGAGCAGATCTTCCAGGTGAGTCGGCGGCGCCGAAGCTCGAAAAGAAAATCCCCGAATTCCAAATACCGGGGCAATTCGCGGCCATTATTTATGCTAATTACGCGCGTACAATTTGAATTTGACTCGCGAACATGAAACTTATTTACTTTGCATTATGCAAATTCAAATTGTCTATTTCAATTTGCCGGCCAGCAAACTCAGGCGGGCAAAGTGGATGGTTAGGGTAGCCTGGCATCATCTGCAGGACATCGTCCTGTTTGGCTTGCCAGTCACGCGTTGTCATTAGCGGTCGTTGGCATTCCGAATAAATTGAGCGCATCAAATGCGAGCGGCGAAAGCTCTTGAACAACGGCATGCCAGAGTGAAATTGATGATAGATGGCCGGGATCATTCATGGCGCATTCCTAAAACTCCTCCTGTCCGACGCTCTAAATCAAAATTCCATAGCACTCGTTTTGGGGCCGGAAGCGGAAGCAGTGCGTCAAAGCAGTGCCGCTGGCAAGCAGTGGGCACTCAGCGGTCTGTGCACACTGTTGCTTCCTTTAAAATGCCACAAAAATATGATACAAAAGTAAATGCTATAAAAAACTATTGATATTTGAATATTTTTATTTAAAATGTATTTGCTCAGTACATGCACTTCTTATCCCCAGAAAATGGACACCAATCGCGATGGCGTGGTCACGCTGGAGGAGTTCCTGGAGGCCTGTCGCAATGACGACGCCATCTCCCGGTCGATGTCCGTGTTCGACACAGCGTTCTGACCATATCCGACGGACAAGGGCGACGAGTACACGGTGCCCCGGCGGCGGCGACATCAGCAGTCGGCACAGCAGCAGCATCTGCAGCATCAGAAGCATCAGCAGGAGCCAGAGAAACGTAAGTCCAACCACAAGACGAAGAACAAGCAACAGCAAAAACAGCAGCAACCACATAGCACTAGACATCAAAACTGTTGTCACATAATCGACATGGATGGCGATAGCACCACCAGCACCACCACCGCCTCGGCGGCCACTGGAACAACACTCAATTGCAATGTCCTATATGATTACGGAGCGGAGCAGGAGGATGACGAGCAGCAGGACGAGGCTGACGAGGATGACGAGGACTCCGAGGCGGAGTACAAGTCCTTTGTCTGCCGCCACTGCCAAAGGCCGCAGTCGGTGGTGCAGCAGCCCAGATCCGGGCGGCGATCGCAGTCTCAGTCCAAGTCGCGCAAGCGCAGCAAGAGCAGGAAGCGCCACCAGAGCAAACAGGGTCACAGTCAGGGCCAGCAGGGTCACCATGGTCACCATGGTCAGCAGCTGACCCGGTGGCCGGACATCAATGTGGCCAACGAGCAGGCCATTCGCTTCCGCTGTCCGCAGGTGGGGCCGCAGGTGGGTCGCGACCTCCACACACCCCAGCCCATGCACTTCCATCACCCCCAGTCACAGAGCCAGAAGGCCAAGAGCAAGTCCCGCCCGCGGAAGCACCGGGCATGCCCAGCTGCTCCGCTATCGAAAGCAGCGGCAGCAGCAGCAGCATCTGCACCACCTGCGCCACCAGCAGAACCGCCACAGATACCGCCCTCCGAACTGCACCCCCTTCCGCCACTCAATGTGATTGTGGGCGGGGCCGAGGTCGAGGTCGAGGTCGATCCGCAGCAGCCACAGCCGCCCACCACCCCCGACTCGCCGTCGCTGGTCACCGTGAGCACCTGGTACACGGTGGCCAAGCAGGGTGTCTCCTGCTAATCGCGGTGAGCAGTGAGTATCCTTGCCAGCACCACCCAACCCCCAACCAACCAGCCACATTGCACCCCAGTCAAAAACCCCTTAAAGGATGGCATTAATATCTCTAGATGCTTAAAATCATTTTCAAACTGATGGCCAACGTCTGGGAGTATGCCAGAATGCAAGCAATTCAATTTTGCGCCCAAAAGGAGAATTCAAATCATTTTAAGCCCCTAGAGATCTGCGTGGCATCCCCCAGTGAAATGCGTTCCCGATTCGGTGTTTGAATATATGTATACAATATATATATTTTGTGCTTAAATAATTATATATGTATGTGTGTTTCAGGGTGGATCTCTGAAAAATCTAAATTGGTAATAGCTAAAGTTATAACACAAATTTATTATTATTAACAATAATATATTTATTGTCTTTAGTAATTAAACTCTAATTTATCTTTGGTTTATAAATGGCATTTTAGTTTTTTACTGTTTGTTTACCTGCCTACCATAAAAGAAAACTTTGTAAAAAAAGCTACAAAATTGTAAATACATTATCATAGATATGGAGTCCGACATACATTTCAAAATATAATTGGATACTAAAGCTGAGATCCGCCCGACTGTGCATTATGTTTCCGATTTATCCTATAATTTGTACTATAATTAGCCAAATGAAGTTTACAAGAATTTTGAAACGTTCTCTGTGTGTATCGATTGATGTTGCAAACTGTGAAATGTGTTATAGTCTTAAATACGTATAAAAATTTCTAGAAAATATAAGTGAAAATGAACCAAAAACGAAAATATATATACTTTATGTTTCCTTGAGTTATATTATCTGTGGCCAGAAAAGTCTTCTTAGAAATGTTGTTAGATGTCCTAGAGTTAAATAAATTGCCGTTAGCTGTGATGGAAAACAAAGTATATTAAACCACAAAAAAACCTTAATATTAATTGTAAAAAAATTCATGATTCTATCGAAACGTGTGGGAGAAAATTGCTCAAACGAAAATGCTTGATATATATAAAGCTTAATGTGTGTGGGTGTGAGTTTGAATGTGTATGCGTGTGCAGCGGGAAAGCTAGAGAGAAAACTTTTTTTATCAGAATAACTTTCAACATTTTAAATGCCTCACTTGATGGTTTTTTCTTGAAACTGTTCCGACTAAAAGCTAAAATGAAATGCTGTAATTTCGTTAATTAAATTCTGTAAAATACGCAGAAATCGTATTAAATAAACTATATATATGCAGATTAATGAACAGACCAATTTAAGCCCACCAATTGGATTTAACAAAAACGCTGTTGTCATTCAAATGCAAATTGAATATTGAATTGGTCTTTGCCGAAAAGTGAGTCAAATAACCAAATTGTTTTAATTGAAAGCAGCTTTCTACTTTATTGGATAAATGTAAAAGGCTGCCAGTTGAATTCCATTCGATTTGCATTATTTCACATAGAAATTCGTTTTCTTCAAACTGTTGTGCAGTTTGCTGAGCGTTAACTTTTTTGCTAAATGTTATTGCTTGTCATGCTTTTGTTGTTGTTTTCATTATGCCACATTGGACACACCAAGGAGACACGCACACACCAGCACACCAACACACCAACACAGCAACACATCAACACACCGATACCCGCACACTTGCAAGGCAAAATCAACAAGGATGCAAACGCATGGGAATTGAAATTCGTGTATGGCAATTAAAATATCTGCTTTCTTTCTCTCCCTTTCTCTCTCTTTCTCTTTTCTCTTTCTCTCTCTCTCTCTCTCTCTCTCTCTCTTTCTCTCGCATCCTGGCCCGCACACACATAACTCGCACACTTGCTTAAATAAACACACGCACATGTGCAGAAATTTGCATAGAAACTAAATGAAATGCGTAGCGAGAAAGACAACGCGAATCTGCCAAAATAAAAATCCAGGTACCGCACGTCCATTAATATGCAATTATGGATGTGTTTGTGCAACTGCAAAAATAATGAAAGTGTGCGGAAAAATTGGAAAGGCCAACGAAAACACGATTTTATCGGCATAATTGTCTGGGTTGCATTTAAAGGGATGCAAGCAGTGCAGCGCTGTTCTCAAGTGTAAGTACGTTGTCGCGCCGGAAGTGCCACTGCTTGACCCCAAAAACACAGGTATATGAAAATTGGCAATGTGTGAGTGCACGCATCCTACGCGGAACCCATTGAATATTGAAAATGTACGAAACGAAAGCTTTACACAATGAAACTAAAACTAAAACTAAAAACTTACTCTTAACGATTTAATGAAACATATATAGAGAGAAATTTAAACTACACAGAAACTATATTTATACAAAAAGAAAATAGCAAGGAAAAAATACTAATTACATTAAATCGGAACCAGTTTGACTTTCTTTTTGAAATATATGTAAACACACGACACACAAACACACACATGCACAAGCCAATGCGTAAGTGTGTAAATCAAAATAATAGCCGCAAATACAAAAGCGACGTGAAGGAGAATTGGAGAAATGCTCCCCGGAGCGTATGCGTAATGTTCAGTGTACTGTTTCTGCGCATATATTCTCCATTAGCAAATTAGTGACAGTGATGAAATGTCATCAAGTCGGCCGGCAATATGTACTATATACAGCTGGCGTGTGTGCCTGTTGTGTGTGCGAGTGTGCAAGCTAAATCAAATAAAAACAAATGTTTGAATCAGAAATTGGACCACAGCAAACAAAGAAGTAGCATAAAATGATATCCGCTGTATATGCATATTATATTTACATATATATATATATAGACAAAGAATATATATAGATATATAACAGGCATACGGTATTTATCAAGTGCATAGGTGTGTAATTGTAATTTTTTGTAGCTAGAACTAAGGGACACACAGAAAATAAACAGAGAACTATTAGAAATAGATAATTGGAAAATGGTTAATTGGACATCTTGTTGTACATAGTTAGTGAATGGTTATTTTCGCCGTTAAACCAACTACAAATCTTTCTCTATATTAACTCTAAACTCAAAGTAATTGTTGCATTTTTAAACCCTTTAAATACATAGCTGTGTACTTAGCTGTAGTCTTCCAGAAGTAATCGAAAAAATCGAACCGAGATGCTGATGATAACTCTATTCCACTTAGATTGAACCTGTAGCAAATTTGTACCTTAGCCGAAACACCCACAAAAAGCTTTCAAAAACAATAAAACTCTCTTCTTAATAGACGAAAAACCGAGTCCAATAAATAAAGCCCATATATACAAAACTGTTGCTGTCGTAGTTGAAGAAGAACTGTATTATTTTTGGATAAATGTTATCGATTTTCTGCCCACTTCCAAGGTTATTCAACGTTAGATCCTTCGAACTATTGGTTTCCCACTGCATATATGTATCTATGTATGTATGTATGTAGTATATACATATGATCGGTCTGATCAAGGGCACGACAATATCGAAAAGGAGCCACAGAAGTGCTAAATGACATATATAATACCCTCCCACCCCAGACTAACACACACACAATACTCCCCCCTCTCTCTCTCTAACTATCACTGTCTCCCTCTCTCTCTCTTTACTTGTCTGTGTGTGAATTAGCAATCAAATACTAATGCAAAATCTATTTCAAAAACAAAGTGTCAAATTTTCAAGAGAAAAAAACATAGAAAAACCTAAAGAAATGTTGGCAAATTGACAGAGACAAACAGAAAGAAAAGCAGAAAAAATTGATAAATTGGAGGATTGCCAACCTAGTTGCAAGTATTTTCCAGGCCTAAGCCTTAACGATTAGTGAAATGCAAATAATTGTAAACACAAAGAAATATATGCATATGAAGTGTGTGTTTTTTCCTAATTTATAAGCTGTTGAAATCAAATTTTACCAATGAAAGTAAGTATTAAACAAGTATTGACGAAGAGAAACTCTCGTTTTAGAGAACCACTTGAATTTTCAGTTGTTAATGTATAAACTGTATAAGCCATTTATTTGTGAGCGATATACTATGTGTTAAAAACCAAACGAAAAACTAAGAAGAGAAAAACGAATACAAAGAGCAGAAAATACATGTCATAGCATAGGCCTAAGTGCGACATTTATTGGGGAAATCCAGAAGGCCTACGGAAGTACTATATATCAAAAACCGAATTGTTATCGGCCGAACGATGTTTTTAAGCCACAAAGGAAATTACCAGTGTTATCAATCGATTGATGAATGTACGTCTTCTGGGTCAAAACGTCAAAAAGCGATTGAGCCACGTTATAAACACAATTACAAATTGATAAACTTACGAGTATATACACAATATACTAATGTACTAGTCGTAAAACATAGCTGATCTTTTTTGGTGTAAATTTTAAATGATAATACCGAGCGAACAAACTTTCCATGCAGTAAAAACCAAAAAAACCAAATAAAAAAACCTAAGCAAAACAAAACATTGTTTCAAAACTACAAGAAGTGTCGTTTAAATGCAAAATTGCATGAACCAAAAAGAAAAGCAAACGAAAAACCGAAAAATATGAGCATGAAAACTTAATTAAAAAAAGAACAAATATTTTTTTTGTGAAGTTAAAATATGTATAAAATAAAAGGTATAAAGAAAAATAAAAACCAGATGAAATTTAAAATGAAATGCTGCGCAGGCATTTTCATTACTGAAATGGCAATAAATCACAGAAAGCGTAAGTTTACTTATTGATGGCAAGCCCACGGAAAACAATTGTGTTGCTACCTTGCTAAACAACAAATCTCTTAACTATGCAGTCTCAAATATCTTGGCTTGCGGAGGCAGCCAACTTTCGTGGGTTTCCGGACGGCTAATGTGGTCCAACTGGCCAAGTTGAAGTGGAAAAGTTAGCCGATGCATGCAGAATGCAGCCGAGCGGCTAATGGAATCGCAATGGGCGCATTTGTATGCCGATCAGAGCGGGAAATTAATACGGAATTAGCTGGTTATGCCCGCATGATGTGGCCGTGTCCCCCAATTGGGATCGCATCGCCTCTCCGCCGGCCACGTCCTGCAATTATAATGCGGTCGGGCTACGGGCTACGGGCACGCACACAAGGAAACCCACTTAATTGTAACATAAAAAAATTGGCCAAGGATGCGAGGGGCGAGGGGCGAGGGGCGAGGGCAGCATGGTAATCGTTAATTAAATCACGTTGTACCGGAAATGAAGTTATTGACAGGGCCAAGTGTGGGACGTGGTGTAATCGCCTGGCCCGGAGTATCGCCTTCATGTTCCATTAGGGCCACAACGGTGTGTGCAATTTCATGGACAAACGCAA